GGAGCTTCTGGCCAAGATGGAAACTTGGCGGGATGACCCGGACAAAGCAAGACATGGCAACTACAGTTTGAATGTAAGCGGAGGTGAAACCTCAAGGCAGCGGATTTTCTCTCGCGAGGACGCCACGGGCTCCTGTACATTGGAATGAGAACACAGTGCAAGTGTAACCAATGTAGGGTGAGGAGGCCATGGGCTCCTGTACATCGACGCAAAGACTTGTAGGCAAGCGCCTGCAGGGGAGGAACGAACACGCGACTGCTGGATTCGATGCAGCAGTTCGGCTCAAAGTGTTGCGTGAATATACTTCAGAGTTGGCAAGAAGAGTGTCTGTCGCTCAACGGCTTTGTCGCTCGCCAGTGGGAAGACACACGAGACCGGGGGGAGCATGTGAGGCGTGCGAATGGCTCGCTTTTTTCCTGCCTGGTTTGGAAATTCGGAGGTGCGGTCTGAACGCCGTGTGTTGAGTCAAGAAGCGCGTCGACTCGTTTGCGCTGTCGGGGAGGTGCCTTTGACCTGCACGGTCGGGTGCGCTGGAGGTGTGTGCAGCAGTGAGTAACAGACCATGCAACCGTGCCGGAGGGTTGCGGAGTCCAATTGTCGGAGGACGATTTCGTTGGATCCAGCATCTCCAGAAGAGAAGGCTGTCCGTGGAACCGTGGGAGCACATCGCCGACCAGGAGGTGGCGCATCCGGACGAGACATGTCGTAGAGAGCCCCTTATGTGGCCAGAGCTTGAGCAGTTTGAGCAAGGGTATACGAAGTGAAGGTCGTAGGTCCTGCTCATGCGCACTTTGTTTTGCTGGCTCTGTGTGTGTGTGTGTGTGTGGTGTCTGCAGGTCGACTTGTGGAGACCACTGTGGCACGGGCGGAAGGCGATGTGAGCCTGGGTAAGAAATGAGAAAACAAGAGTGGTAGGAGACGACACAGATGTAGAAGAAGGCCGTGGTGCCGACACCAAGCAGACAGACAAGAGCATGCGTCATTCCGACCTCCTGGCGGAACAGGTTGGACGTGTATGACGTTGATGCCATCCAGCCTGCAGCCCATAGAATGTCCTTGTTTGGGGGTGCTTAGGGAGGCAGATGGTTTTCCGGAAAGTGCCAGGTGACTACCAGTTGGCCTTTGGACGCTTCTGGCTGTTGCAGTGTGCTTCGTTCGCACATTACATGTTGCCAAAAGCTCTTCTTTGGTGGAAAGAAAAGAAAGCAGGCGTTTTGTTTGAGAGAGTCTGAGTCTTGTAGCTTTAGCTACATGCCGACTTTCCTCCAGGTTGCCCGGAGTGGCAAACCTACAGTGGAAGAGGACGTGCGCTGTGCCCATGTCCAAAGAGTGTATAGTCTTTGTAGCGACAGAAAAGGAGAGAATCGGAGTGACGGTCTCCATGGAGCAGTGGAAGTGCAAGATGCAAAGCGAGGTGACACGGCGGGAGACACATGTCTTGTTGATAGCCGCGAAGGAGACACCTGTTGTTACTGTTGTAATTGTGCAATGTTTGGGTCGCGGCTGGATCGCTTGTTTTGCACAAAAAGACAGAAAGGATGCACCATCGAGGCCTTCGTAAAGAAGTGGGGTGGGGTAGCACACAAAAGACAGCGTGGAAAGCTAATGAAACATAAACATGATAGCAGGTGCCTTTGAAGACGGACAGCAAGGTGGCATGGGGCACAAGCGAAAGAAAAGTCGTTGGTGCATAGCCATTGCTGCAGAGAGAAACTCAACTCACACAGTCCTGTTGCCAAGGTGGCGCCGGAGATCAAAGCAGGGAGACTAAGCTTATATTCATCTGTGACCCACACGTACGCGCGCGCACGTCAACTTTAAGGTAAGTAGGAGTGTACTTGGTGTTTGACATGTGTTTGCTCCTGCGCAGCGGAGGCCGCAGCAAGCGACAGCACAAGCGTTTCCGAGACACGTGGTATAGGGTGCGTGTTTGGCTGCACGCACGGACCTACACCTCGACTGAGCGATATCGGCGAAGAGCATACACCAAGTATTTTGACGCGGCTATCCGCGAGCACGATGCCATGGTGGCTCTCTGTGTGTGTGTGTGGTGTCTGCAGGTCGACTTGTGGAGACCACTGTGGCACGGGCGGAAGGCGATGTGAGCCTGGGTAAGAAATGAGAAAGCAAGAGTGGTAGGAGACGATACAGATGTAGAAGAAGGCCGTGGTGCCGACACCAAGCAGACAAACAAGAGCATGCGTCATTTCGACCTCTGGCGGAACAGGTTGGACGTGTATGAGGTTGATGCCATCCAGCCTGCAGCCCATAGAGTGTCCTTGTTTGAGGGTGCTGAGGGAGGCAGATGGTTTTCCGGAAAGTGCCAGGTGACTACCAGTTGGCCTTTGGACGGTTCTGGGTGTTGGAGTGTGCTTCGTTCGCACATGACATGTTGCCACAAGAGCGGAGAAAGCAAGCCATTTTTTCAAGCGCTAAGTGGAGGCAAGCGTAGGCTCATGCTTGGGACACTGAACGCCCTTGGAGACTTCAGGTTGTCCGGGTTGGCGGAAGTACAGGGCCAGAGGACTTGTGGTGTTGAATGTCTGAAGGCTTGTGTGTGTGTCTGTGCATGTTGCGCAGCATGGAGGAGAGAATGGTGCAGACACTCTCCATGGAAGGGTGAGGGCGCATGATGCGCACCGAGGTGGAACGGGTGGAGTGAACCGGTTGTAGGCAGCAGACACCGTAGTTCGTCGGTTTTGTCAAATGATGTGCGTGTGCTGGCTGCAGGTGAGCTTGTCGCTGCCAGAGTACCACGGAGGGAAGGCGACGCTAAGTCTGAGAAACCAGAAGCGAGCAAGGATAGAGGAGAAAAGCCGACAGCAAAGAAAGACAGTCGGCCATTTCAGGAGTGACAGCCCGACGGCCACGCTGCAAGCGGTGAGGATTTCCAAGGCCATTGCAGTTCGCAACGGCTGGAAGGGATACTCCTTTGACGTGACCACAGCTTTCCTATCAGGAGAGAATCTACAACGCAACGTGTATGTGCGAGCTCCTGAGGAGGGATTGCCAGCAGTGGATGAAGAGCCAGCCGTGGGCGGTGGCGAGCTGATGCAGATCTTGCGCTCAGCCTACGGTCTTGTTGAAAGCCCTCGACTCTGGTACTTGAGGGCGAGTAAATTGCTGACATCCACACCATTGAAAGAACTGCCGATCAGCAAGAGCAGCTTCGTGGCTTCTGACGACACCCAAGCGTGGGCACTGCTCAATCTTCATGTTGATGATGGCCTTCTATTCGGTTCAGAGCAGGACAATCGTTTCCTGAAGCTCAAGAAAGATATCAATGGCATGTTTACGATCAAGGAGTGGAAGTCCATTCCCTTGACCTTTTTGGGCGTGGATCTCAAGGAACGGCATGGAGAGCTTTATGATGACATGTCCAACTACATCAGCAAGATCGCATTGCCGGACATGAAGCTCAGTGCCAAGAATGACACTCCGTTGAATCCACAGCAGCTGACAGCATACAGACAGCTGGTGATGAGGCTACGATGGCCAGGTCAGCAATCGATGCCTCAGGTGCTGTACAAGGTCAGCAAGTTGGCACAACATGCCACACGAGCCACTATGGGTGACTACAAGGCGGCATTGCAACTTTATGAGGAGTGCAAGGAGGAAGCAAAGCAAGGTCGTGCCGTGCTTCCATACCCCGAGATACATGGCAAGCTTTTTGTGGTGACTTACTTTGACGCGTCCCTCGGCAAGGAGAAGGACGGCAAGTCACAACTTGGGGCAGTGCACTTCCTGACAAACGAGGAAGTCTCGAAGGGCCCTCAACCTGCTGCAGCAGTGGACTACATGACAAACAAAAGGAGCAGGGTGGTCAGGAGTTCAATGGCCGCGGAATCTTGTTCACTCAGCCTCGCGGTGGACAGACACCTCTACGTCCGCCTCATTGCCGACATGATGCTGCATGGAGTCTTTGAGGTTGGATCAGAATGGCAGGCACGCCTGAGGGTAGGCGGCGGCGTCGTTACGGACGCAAAGTCGCTGTACGACCACATGTGCACGACAGGGCAGATTCCTTCAGAACGGCAGACTATGCTGGATCTTCTGGTGGCCAAGGATCTGCTAGAACAGGAGGTGTTCAAGCTGTACTGGGTCCCCACTCACAGACAACACGCAGATGGCCTCACCAAAGCCATGCGCAACCTGTTGTGGGAAGAATATCTCACGAGAAAGACCATCAGCTTGAAAGAGACCGCGGAGGAGAAGGCGACGGAGGAACACCGGAAGCAGCTACGGAAGGGACAACGAGAACGTCGCAAGGAGCGATCAAAGAAGATGGTGGCACCATCTAGCTTGGCAGAGCCAATGCACTGTGGCTGGGCCACTGTACAGTATGGCAGAGCCATGCTTTAATTTGCAAGAGCAACACACCAGCACGTTTCTCTCCCAATGTGGAAAGTGACGGTTGCTGGTACAGGGTGGTGTGTTGTGATGCATGTCGGTACATACCGAAGCTTGATCAAGCCGCGATCGCAAAAGCAGAGCTTTCGCTGGCAGCGCCGTTTGTTTTGAGCCCATACCACTCCGCAACCAAAACTTTTTGGGGTAGTGACAATTTCTAGGCACCCCAGAGGTTGGCAATCAGCGCTCAAACCAGGAGATCTCCGCGTAAAATGGCCGGGCAAATTCAGCATTTGGTGCCACTTCATGACACCGACAAGAAACACCAAAGAAACAAATTCTGAAAGACTTACTCAATCTTACTTAGCATTACTACTAGTAGCAAGAAGCTACCAGTAGCAAAGGGCATCGCTACTAGGAGCAGGGACGCTACTAGTAGCTCCTGGCCTTACTACTAGCAAGAAGCTACTAGGTTGGAGGCCATCGCTAGACTGATGTGACACCGTTCTTCAAAATCGACTTCAGTGGCGGTCTTTGCGCCACCGAGGTCTGTTCCGGGGCACCGAACAGAACCATCTCTTCGACCATCTCTTCAAACTGTCGAACGGCTCATGTTTGTCACATCTTTCCCGTTTGTGACGAATTGGGAGGTACCAGTACAAGACCTTGTGGTGCCCAATCGGCGTTCAGCATGACTGGCAGAATTGCGTCTATGCCCACAACTATCAGGAGCTGTCAGAGTGGGCAGCGGGGGAGTGGCAGTCTGCGGCGCAGTGCGCGGGGGTGACCTTGCAACGTTGTGACGCATCAACCATAGCAAAAATTTCACCTTTCAACACCCCATTACAAAGCTTTTCCAAGCATCGGTGGTGCCAGTCTCTGACCAATCTGAGACCTTCGGCTGGAAGGATGCAGTGCTGAATCGAACTGGTTGAACGAAGCAGCGAAGACTAACAGTACCAACAAAGTCTTGATCGTAGAGTTGAAATTGCGAGATTTGGACCTGTCTACCACCCCAACCTGCTTGCCGAAACACCTCACCTTGGATAGCCGATGAGTTCCTTTTTCTTCATTACATGTCGTTCCATGTACAGAAACCTTCCTTTACCGTCGCTCTCCACCAGGATGCCCGCCGCAAGCTTTCCATCGGCTATGGGCCGCAGCCGTGCCCTCACTGGGCCAAGAAGGAGCTACACGGCGCCGCGCAGCGAGATCGACGAAGCTCGGGCGTTGGAGAACGGTGTCGGGCGCCACTCCTACACAACTCTGGAAGAGTTTGAGATAGGCGGATTGAGAGTTTCGAAGCTCAATAGTTTGTTGTTGTTGTTGTTGTTCTTTTTACTACATGTTTTTTGCTCTGGCTTCTATAAATGCTTCTGGCCATTTCTCAACCTGCCATCTTCATTCACTTCAGAATGACAGCACCTGGAAACTTGTTCAAACTGGGGTGGGTGAGGACCCAAGCCTGGACTACGAGCAGCGTTGTCCACAGGCATTGTGTTTTGGTATGGCGACAGCCGGCGGTGTGGTAGCAGGAGGGGGGGGCCAGGAACTAGATGTCTATTTGAGGAGAAAGTCCAGACCATCTAGGTCAGCGCTTCTTTCCAGTAGTTTCTGGCCATATCCATGTAGAAATGTAGATAGACCAACAAATAGATGCGCAAGACTGATTTATGTGGTTTTTGTCGTAGGCTGATCCCTACAGCCGATTGAACTTTTCCTTTTCCCCTTCACAATTGATATCAGCTTCTTTGGAAGACAAGCTGACTCAATCTTTGCGCGGAGTGCTTGAGAGCCAGAGGGTTAGTCACGCAGACGGGGCCACAACTGATTAACACATCAAAGTGACACTTGCCACCCACCTTGATTAAAACAAACATCAACAGGCCACGCAAGGGAAGGTTCAGTGATTCGGAAGATGAGAACATCTATTCACGTCCAGTTTCTATGTCACAATGTCGGTTGGGCACCCTGCGAGGGCTTGCGCTGCCCCTACGCGCACGGCGCGAAAGAGCAGCTCTACCATCCGCGATACTTCAGGTGGGCCCCAAAGTCGTCCTGTGTGGTGGATGCTGGGTTTGGAGCCGTTTTGGTATTAAAGTGAGCTGATCTTTTTGAAGTTCATAATTTTTGTTGTTTTCGGTTGGTGTTCATGTGTGAAAGTCTGTTTTTGTCGTCATCCAGCCAATAGATATTCATTGGTTCTTCTCTTCTACTCGAATAATGGAAGTTTTTGCCGTTGAGTTGATCCTGCAAAAGTAACATACAAGTCCTCATGACGAGAGCTCTCTTTTGCTTGGAGGAGGTCCTTGTAGCAACTACTTTCTGAGTGTTCCTGTCTGTTAGGCCTTACAAGGCCTTACAAGGTCATCCCTGGAGCTAGTAGCATCCTTGCTACTAGTAGCTTCTTCTTTCACCAACAGGATGGGAGCCACTCATCGCTTCATCGGCCATTTTCCACGGGCTATGCGCTTCTGCCGCGTTGCGACGCGACCAGGACGGTGGTTTGCCGGGACCTCCGATCCAAGGAGCTCTGGCCTGTGCAGGGCGGGGGTGACAGGTGGCCTTGTTTTCAACCCAACAAAAACAAGGGGAGCTCACTGAGCACACGATCTTCCTCAGTCTTTTGGGACATAAAGTGTTCGTTCTAAACTTGCTCCAACCACTCTGGTAAGGAAGGCCTTTGGTTGGGGGGGTGCCCTGTGGCGTGGACCAGCCGTGTTATTATGCTTCGAGAGAGTAGTCATCTGAACACCTAACAAGCTCCGACTTCAGGACGGGAAGAAGGCTCAGAACGGATTTTTCGCGTGCATTTTTTAGCCTTATACTTGGATGTTTGCGGTGGGCAAGAGGCGGGACGTCGATGGTTCGCACTGCCCACTTGTCATCCTTTGCCCTACTGGGTGAACCACGAGCTCGGAAACACACGAGCTGAAAGCAACCTGTATACTGTATACGTGACAGGAATTAGGCATGCATACCCAATTGGCATCGCGACTTTCTTCAAGCTCAGTTGTCCTTAAAAACCACAACATAATATATATATATATGTTTATAGTAGCGCGATGCTTTTGATAGTGGGTGATTTGTTGGACCAGTGTGTCAAGCCTTTCTCCTTGATACCCAATGAACCTTCACCATCCATCACTGCCACTTATTCCCATCCAGTCACGGCCGCATCCCGAGACAAATCGCACACACACCGTTCTAGTAGCTTCTATAGCTACCTACTAGCGATGTCCCTAAGAGTGTCCTCCCGCTTCCTTTGGCGTGTCGCCGCCCAAGGCCTGTCCCCGCGATCGCCTCTGTGCCTTCTTCCACCGCCGTGCCGAGCGCCGCCGGCCGCCGCCCGACGGTGCGACCGGAGTCGCGCGGCGAGAGGGTGAACTCACCGACCGGTACAAGGGTGCTTGTGGGAGTGTCGCATCGGGTCGATGAGGGTCGTAAACAGTCGGAAAAGATTCCTATTTTTGAGAAAGGCCTTTATTTACCCACCATCATCATCCTACTGTTATACCCAAGTTTGGTTTCTGTCAGAAAAACGAAAAATGGCCAGACACGAAGCCCTCCGCAGCCCATCCTGCAGATACCGACTACACCAGGCCACTGCCGAACGAGGCCACTGCCGAACGGCGTTCGAATGAAGCCACCAAGCCCTCAAGTCCGATCTGCCAGTGAAGGGTTCCCGACTGCTAGTTGCGTCCGAACGCTCCGTTCGTAGCGATGCCAGGAGCCCCTAGTAGCGTCCTTGCTCCTAGTGGTAAGGAGCCCCTAGTGGTGTCCTTGCTCCTACACTCCAATGTTTTTTTTTTCTTGATGGGTCGATATTAACTAGTAATTCATGGCGCGGCTGTTACAGTCAATTGCCATAGGCACGAGCAATGCAAAAAGAACATGGCTGGTGGATATGATTTATACATACACTCCCTGAAAAGTCGATCTGCGGCATTGAGGGTCTCAACTTTGATGCATTTATTTTTTATGTTTTCTCATGCCTCTTGTGGTTGGACGTTGTGGACATCAACTGCTTAATTTGCTGACCCCTTAACATGATGTTGCATATAATCATACTTCCATAGGGCTTGGGTGACTGCCGGGAAGGCGATCTGCGAGGAGTGGCGCGCCAACTTTCAACGACCTCCCTTCAGCGACCTCGCGTCCGGCACCGTTGGCCATTCGAGGTTTTTCGTGTGGTCTTCCCCGTTTCACCGTTGAAACATCAAGCAGGTGGTGCTATAAAACATATAGCCTACTTTTGATGTGCTGATTCAGTTTCAGTCTGCAACGGCTCAAGCTCTGGCAAGTATCAACTGGTATCAGCGCTAAAATCGCACATTCATGCCCAAGTTCTGTGGTCTCACGTTGGAGAGATTCCTGCCAACTGCTATCTGCTACACCAAGGCCCACGGGGCGACTGGAGGCGAAGCCCTTGCCAGCGGGTAGCGTGCCACCAGGCATGGAGTACAGATGGAGTCACAGTATGAATAGGGAGGGAAGAGGAGGTGTTATGTTAGCATATCCGATGTTTTGGTTGTCTATGACGCAAGGCGTTTCGTTCGCCCTACCCAACAAGAGCTCTGGTGCCGGAGGAACGGGGTCTTGTCACACCGCTGGCCGGGTGTGGGGCGGCACGAGGACGCTGTCGTTGCTTGCCATGGCAGTTAGAGGGAATGGGTGCATTGAGCCCCTCGCAAAATCGGATAGTTCAGTGTTGCTTGTTCTGGATGTGGGTGCTATCCTGTTCGTGGGTCAGCAACCATGTCTACTCTACATGTCAAGGCGTTTGAGGCCAACCCACTTGGCTCCAAAGTGGATGACAGTGAGACGATGGGCTACTTGTGCTCACTGGGCGTCTTTTGCTTGGTCAGCCAGTGCCTGACTGAAGCATCTCGTGTGTGCTTGGAGGGGAGGCCACCTCAAAGATCAAAATGCTTGAGCAGAGTTCCACAATAGACTGAAGCATACCAAGCCCAGACTTTCCGAGTTGGGCAGACTTTCACTGTGGATGCACTGGTCGAGTTTTGACGGGATGCGGTGTAGTGTTTCTTGCTCTTCTTTCTTCTGTAGCTGGGATTGATCTTTCCCCCTGCAATGATGGGTTGTGAGACCTGCATCAGATACCATGAGAGTATGGACTTGCGATGCAGTATGGCCTCTCAACCGGATTCTATGTCCTGTTCTTATAGCTATTGCAAGCTTGGTGAAACAGGATCGGCAGCGTCCGATCCCTTGCACTTTCAGAAGTCGATCACTTCGGGTGGGCTTGGCCAAGCCTGGGTTGCCTCCTTGCGCCCCAAGAACCCCCCAGCCAGGCACTTCGGCTTCCTCGCAGGTTCGCTTCACTCGCTTCGACTCTGTCGTCTCACTCTCCATCCGTCCGATCTGGTTCTCCACACGCATCGATCGGGCTCCCAAACATCGCCCGGCCTGCGCTGTGTTAGGGAAATATTAATTCTAATTAATAGCTAGTTGTTTCTAATAGCTTCTTGTTACTACTAGTAAGGCACTTGTTACTAGAAGCGATGCACTTGTTCTTGTGCTGCTCATGTTTCCATTGATGTGTGTTTCTGGAGGTGACAGGCTTTCCAAAGATTTGCTCCCTAGCTCAATGTTCACCAGGCAACCCACTCAGTGCTCAAATCAAATAGGATGCTTCTTTCACCCAATGAACAACATGAACAGACCATTTTGGTCAAAGACGCTTTGGTGGAAAAAAAGCATGGGATGTGAACACCTGGACCTATGTTTCCCATGCTTCCCACGGGGAAACCAACCGTTCAACCTGCTCACAACCTCCAGGCCTCTGTCCGGAGCCAGAAACTGGGCCTCGCACTCAGCCCGACCGCTGCGCATCAGGCTACGCATCGGCCGGACGCTGGTGCCTGGAGCGCGAAGTTGGGTGGCATTTCTTTTTGAAAACTCTGACATGGGAGCACAAAACTCCATCAAGCTGGGGGCTCAGATGAGGTAACGATGTACTCACTAAACAGATACAAGGGGAATCACAGAGATCTGTTTAAGCAAGCCGATTCCAACCGGCCTAGAGAGTCGATTCGTTCTTGTTGGCAGCAAGAGCCTTGTTTCCTTCAACCGGTTTTTAGATGCCCCATGTGTTGAGAACCTTGGGGTTTATCCAGTCATGCCGGTGACACGGTTGTGGTGACAGCACAGGATCAGCACTTGCACTCTCTTCCTGGTCCTCCAGCTGCTCTGCGCAAGCCGAGGCTGAACTATTTGCAGGACTTTACCATGGCACCCTTTATGCGAAACTGGCATGCTTTGAGAGTGCCATTGTCTTTCAGCGACTTGTAAATCGATGAAAGGGGGGGTATCGACCCTTCAGCTCAGGTGGTCGACCCTTCAGTTGCTTGACAAGGCCGCAACGCGGCCGCAACGCACTCGTTTCTGCACCGGCGTTTCTGCAGGACATCGGTGGACACGGTCGAAGACCATTCCCATCGCTAGACTCAAGTTGTGGGTGCGATATGCGGGACAGTAGCGTCCGATCGTTCCGTTCGTAGCGATGGCAGGAGACCCGTTCGTAGCGTTCTTGCTCCTAGATCGTATGAGATGTTTGAAAAGAGGATCCGAAAAGGGAATCACTGAGGGAACGTATAGTCTTTGGACTTCTAGGGTATTGTGTTCTATAAACGTATAGTATTCTTTTCTTGTCCTTGACATGCACATAGCTCTGGATCGTTTTGAATGCTTCTTTGAGATTAAGAATTTTGAGGCAGTAAGGTAGATTCACGAGATCGCCTTCGAACAGGTACTAAGATGCCATGGAGCCTTATAGCTGTTGGGAGCTTTGCATGGCAAAACCAAAGAACCCGGTGGAGGCCATCGCTTCTAGGTTGGAGGCCATTGCTATTAGGTTGGAGGCCATCGTTATTCGGTTCCTCAAGCTTTCCTTAAATTGAGGTAGATTCTTAGGGCAGCTTTGCCGCAAAACTACAAACATGTCATTCCAGGGTTTCAACAAGACCATTACTAGTAACAGGAAGCTACTAGGGGCTCCTGGCCTTACTACTAGGAGCAAGGACGCTACTAGGAGCAAAGGACGCTACGAACGGGGCTCCTGGCATCGCTACTAGTAACAAGAAGCTACTAGTTCGCTGCGAGAGAACTCGGTGCCTTGGAGGAGCCCAAGGAGGCTAATACACCAAGGACCACTGGCAGCACTGGCAGTGGCAGGGTGTTGTTTCTTTTTTTGGACGGAGGGGGAGAAGAGTTTTCGACGGTTGGTTGCTTCTATTCCGGTTTTGTTTTTTCTTTTGGGAATGAAGTTCAGCAAGCTGTTCTGTTTCCGTTTGTTCTTTTGGTGGGTGGGAGGGGCAATGCTTTTGAGAAGCATGAGAAGACCGACGTTTGTTTTCAACAAAGAGATCAACATGATGGTCAATAGTCCATTTTTTGTTTGCCACAATTTCCGACCGATGAGCCTTCCGCACAGTTCGTTAAGATGACCTCGGTCGTTTGTGGAGCCGAACGGAAGGTTCGTCGTTACACGTTTTGTTCCCTGAACACTCCCGAAACGTGGTGAGGCCAAACTTTGGGTTGATCAGAGGCACCATGGCACGACAAAACCCCAAAAATCACCATGGCGGGCGTTCCGAAAGCTTCCCCACGCACCTTCAGATGGCGTATTGAAAAGTAAAGGTGTGGATATAGTTATTATCCAAGGCAGTTTCATTTGCAGGCCCACCTTGCATGCTCTGTATCCCCTGGCTAGTTCTGCGGTTTTCTTGCGCAGCGTGGTTCTCGCCCTTGGCCGCTCTTGTTCGAATCAGAGGGAGAGCAGGAGACGGAGAGGGCTTCAAGCGGTTTGCGGAACCTTCACTGCAATGATGCAGATGCTGGTTCATGTTTTCACAACAGGACTTGTGCTGGTTGTCTGACGGAAGAAGCTGCAACTGGAAATGCTGCAACTGGAATCACGACAGACTCCGATAGACCATGTTCTCATGTGTGCAACCCTCATTACTTGCAGACAGAGGCACTTCCATCTAGAAGTAGCTAGCAGGACAGAAACCATCAGAAACCACTCCTAGTTAGGTAAAGCCACATGTTGACAGAACTCGTCTTCATCTCGATTTGGCTCGGTGAGATCTCATCTCGCATCCCACCACTCTCCGCACCTGCGGCTCATGAGCTGTCGGGCACCACCCTCAGTCGCAGCATTGGGAGGGAAGGCAGCACGGGGTGGGCTGGATCGGACAAAATGGGACCTTTGTGGAACTTCCTCAATCAAGAAGATCATTTTGTGCAGGTCCTCTCATGCTTCACATGGAACCGCGCTCGCCAACTAGTAGAACAAGGGCGGACCATTTTCCGAATACCGACCAGGTAGTTTTCACTTTCACGATTATTTGAGGGAGTGTGCTGTTACTGAGTGTACTGATTATAAAAGTCGCTCCCTGAAACCACGGAGATGGTTTCCATGCGTGGGGTTTTGATTGGTTTGAATCACAAAGGAAGGGAGACGATCTCCCAACATGATCATCCTATCTTGAAAGGGCCAAAGCAAGAGATGGCATGAGATGGCTGAGTTCACTTCACCCTACATTGCCCCCTACATTGCCCCATACATTGCCCAGATGCGAAGCAGTTGATTCCCCATGCCACACATTGGTGTGCTCAAAGGGTGTGATTCGTGGGATTTGCCACAATTGCTTCCCTTGGAGACATGGGAGACATGGGAGACATCCTTCAGTATTTTTTGCGGTGATGATCGCTACTACGTGTGGATTGAATCTTCAGTACCAAAAAGAGATGAAAGAACGTCGAACAAAGAGCTCAAAGGCTTTCACAGCCTGGTGCGGGTACAAAAGGCCCCAAAACTACCAGGTGATTTCATCGCACACCTCCAGTTGCAATGGGTTTGCTGACGATGGAAGCCTCTCAAGGTCTAGTCTGGAGAAGCGGATGACGCCCGAACAGGCTGGCAATCTCGCGAAGACTTGGACAAATCAAGTTGTAGAAACAGATCGAAGGTCTGCGTCAAGCATATTAGGACGCTACTAGGGGCTCCTGGCATCGCTACGAACGGAGCAAGGACGCTACTAGGGGCTGCTGGCACTACTAGGAGCAAGAGCGCTACTAGTAGCCATTCTTCAGGGTCCCTTTTTTTCGTTTTTGGGGAAGGTCCAACGAAATCCATCGATCCACACTTCTTTTCAGGGCGCGGGCCCCCCTCGGGTTTTGGTCGCTTGAATCCGCGTTCTGGGTCCTATAGGGTTCAACCGGATGGTTTCATCCTTTGGACTGGCTTCCGCAGTAGTTCACACATGTTCACACCGTTCTCAAGCAATTTCATGTTTTCAACTTTTAGTTCACATGTTCAAAAAACCTCGGTCGCGGGACGCCACTGCGTTCCTTCTTCAGCTCAGTTCGGACACATTGCTGCGAACGAAGTCTGTCGTCCAATGTCCCACCTGGTTCACTCTCCAGTCACAAGAGCGGAAGGCCGCTCTCCTGGCAGATCATTGATCCCACATGGTACTTTGTTTTCAGGTGTCTTTGGCGTAGGAGATTCTATGAATTCTATGCCATCGGCCGCTTTAGATCGGGATCCGTAGGAGTCCATGTAGACCAGCGCTTGGGTTGCTCTGAAAATAGAACTGTTCGGAACCGCCACCCAAGCATAAGCCACGAACTGTGAAGACAGGGTTCTTGCAGAACCTTCAAAATCACCTTGGAATACAAAAGTTAGACTCTCTCTCTCTCTCTATCTCCCGAGCTTTTGAACACAACGTCTCGATCCGAGTCCCTAGGCCGCCTTTGACGACGCCCGCTGGCCGAGCTGGCCCGGGGCGGGGCGGAGGACCCTGCGCGCACGCTCTGATGGGTCGCATCTGCCGCTCGGCGGGATCGGAACCCGTTCTGATGGGTTCCTGGAGGAAAGCGAGCATTCCATGCATCATATAACTAGTAATTCACTGCAAGAACCAACAGGGACAACCCAAGATCTGAGCCGGACTTCATGTTTGTGGAGTGAATCAGTCCCTGGTCGCATGCACGGGTCGTTAGACAGAAGACAGAATGGTAAAGAGTCACAACTTTCAACGGTCCCTGGTCGCATCCAAGTCTTATCGTCTTGGGACATTCTCAAAACATCCAATTGTCACAACTTGGGTGATTGGTTGACCCACACCAAGCATCGATCCGCACCAAGGAGTGAAGAGAGCTTCGTTCGAGGGCAGGACCGGGCGACGGTCGCGGTCCGCGGTCGGTCACGTCGTTCGAGTCGAACATCGGTTCGGGCGCTACGAGAAGGGAATGTAGCTTCTTGTTACTAGTAGCGTCCGTGCTCCTAGTAGTAAGGCCAGGAGCCCCTAGTAGCTTCTTGTTACTGCTAGTAAGGCACTTGTTCCTAGAAGCGATGCACTTGTTCCTAGTAGCTTCTTGTTACTGCTTGATTCATCTTTCACTTCTGCACTTTGGATTGTAAAACCTCTCACTTATTCATATAGATTGCATTGAAGTTGGTTAAAATGAGTGGGAAGTTCTTTCCTTGTTGATCCTTCCTGTCCAATGGCTGTTCACATCAAGACCATTTGCTATCCTTGCTTGATCGCCAGTTTTTTTGAGTCGGTGGAAGAGTCTTCGATGGTTGTTTTGGGGGAACTACTTTGTGATCTTGAAGCTCACTTCCCACTCATGTGATCAGATTCCCACTCACTTCGCACGTTGAAAGCTCTTCCCACTCGCACGGAGTGGTAGGCCGAGAGGCAGATTGCGCCACCGGGCGGTTCGGTGAAGGCCGTCCTCCGACCGGTCACCGTCTACGTCCGCCGCCGTGCCGAAAGGACCGCCCCACGCACCGCATGACATTGCCGTTGCCCGCGTGCAGTGGGGACTCGCCGGAGCTCCGAGAATGGGTGGAAGGAAAGCAGACACACAGAGATACCTTAGAAATTGCTTCAATGAAGGGCTTACAGACACATTTTTGAGCTATCTTTGTTTCGTGGCACTTTTTCACTTCCACGCACATGAACCAGTTCTGTTAACCAGAAAATGACATCAGCCTAAAAAGCCACTGAGACGCCCGGTCTCTTCAACAAAGCTTTCCGGGCTCTTCGTCCGACGATTTCCGGGATGGAGGGGCAGTGGTCCGATGAAGGAAGACCGGTCTTCTGAAGGAAGAGCTTCAACGGTTGAAGGAAGTCGTTTCTGTTTTTTTCAGTTTCCACTTTACAGGGTTGCAGGGCACATGAGATGATCCCTCAAAAGTGTCAATGAGGCCTTATTTTCGGCAATGGCCGCCAGATTGGGAATCATCACCATTTCGGGGTGGTTGTTTGCTTTTCCTTTCAACGGTTCTTCTGATCGACTGGCAGGACTTTCATGGATCAGCATCATGTTGCGAAAGTCGTCTAAAATTGGGGGTGCCACACAAGAAGGACATATAATCAGCGGTGTGGCAATCGACAGGTTTTCTCATTGAGTTTGGTCGGCTGGACATTACTCTTTCCCGTTTCCTCGAAACGCGTGGAGAGTTGAACAGCCATGAGCGACTTCTCCTGAAGTCCAAGAAAGGATTCTTGTGCGTCAGTAGCTTTTTGTTACTAGATGTTACTAGTAGTAAGGCCAGGAGCTACTAGTAGCGTCCTTGCTAGTAGCGATGGCCTTTGTTACTAGTAGCTTCTTGTTACTAGTAGAAATGGCCTCCAACCTAATACGATGGCCTCCACCTAGTAGCGTCCTTGCTACATCATGAAAAAAACACTCTCCAATTGGGCCACAAGAACGAAACGGTCCAGGCTTTGGTCGCAACACGTGGCACGTTGTGCGTGGCCGAGGACCGCGCTGGAAATGGCCGTTCTCACTGAGGGGCGAGGCGTGGAGGATTCATCGAACAAGGAACTTGTCGGAGCGCAAGTAAGGCGGTTGTATACTCCAATTAGTGTAAATCTACTAACTGAAATGTTGATAGCAGATACAGTAGATGACCAGCAGATGATATGATCCGTGGAAAACACGGGTTCTTCTGTGTTATTCTGCTGTCCCTCCCTTCCGGCTAGTTGGAATTCTAAATCGATATACGGATTCATAGGTTTGCATCACTGGCACCCCTAACCAGTGCTTCGGCTGGGTTGGAGTCACCAGCCTGTAAGTTGACAAATCTTTAGGCCAACTCCGCTGTAGGGTGGCAACCTACAGATGCATAGGTCTGCGTGAGTAACACTCCGAACCAGTACTTTGGCGGCTGGGTTGGAGTTCAAGCCTGTTGGCAAACCTCTAGGACAGCTCCCCTGTAGGTTGGCAACCATCTTTTGATTCATAGGTTTGCATCAGTGGCACCTTAAACCAGTACTTCGGCTGGTTCCAAGCCTATAAAACAGGCAAGCTCCGCTGTAGGCTGGCAACCTACAGATGCATAGGTCTGCATCACTGGGACCCCCTAATCAATAATTTGGTGTCCAGCAGTGCCCCGTTCTGTGAGGCACCCGAGTGGCGCCAACACCGGAGGGTGTGAGACTTAAGAGGCAACCGGGATCGGGTCACATCATGTCAGTTCGATTGAGATTGGGGTGAATCAAGACCGCCAAAGCATTGGAGCAAGCTCGTGCCTCTCATGGTTTGCCTTCATGAAGATTTGATTCTCCTTGCTTCAGCAGGCTTCAGTCACTATTGAGTTTCAATCCACCTATGAGCGATCAGATATATGGTGGAAGTTTGACAGGGTTTGGCTGAAGTGCCAACTTGAGGGTAAGTGATTCCTCTTACCAGAAGTCATCACACTCGCTCCTTCCGCTGATTCCAATGCGCGGCAGGCACAGCTGGGCCGGCAGTCTGAAGAATTGGATCGGTTGGGTAGCCCAGAAGTGAAGCGTTTTGAAAGTAGATATCTTGTAAGGTCTTGAACCTTTACAGGTCTTGGACAAGTTTTGGTGCTCTAGCTATCATCCGTCTTGTAGTCACGCACACTTTAGTGAGTTGATATAATATCTGGGGTATCGATCTTCCAGCAACAAGAAGCTATTAGGAGGCCATGGCTATTAGGTTGGAGGCCATCGCTAGTAGGTTGGATGCCATTACTACTAGTAGCAAGAAGCTATTAGGTTGGAGACCATGGCTAGCATTTGGGCTTGATCCCTGAAGAGTCCCAAGGGGGACGAAAGCTAGGCATTTAGAAAAGCTGCTTTGGGTTTGAGCGACCTGTTCTAAAGTTGTGCCACCTATGGGTTCAGGCTGTGGGGTACTAGTGATGGCCTCCACCCTAGTCGTGAGACGAAAAAAGGACTGACGCTAAACAAAGCCTAATAGCACCGAATAGCGTCCTTGCTCCGTTCGTAGCGATGCCAGGAGCCCCTAGTAGCGTCCTTGCTCCTAGTAGCGATGGCCTCCACCCTGGCCGGAGGTAAATCTCCATCGTCCAGCCCAAACTTGGGTGCTCGGCCGAGGATTTGAGGACAGCAGAGAAAGTGAATCTGCGGGGGGTCTCCAGCCGTGCGTGTCGCTGACGGGGGTTCAGTGGCTGGAAGGCTTGATGTGCACCCCTTCACGTCTGGGGACATGCTTTTCTTTGTTGAAAGGTGCGGACAACACGTCCGTTGCATACGAAGAGTCTTTGAGCGTTTGTGGTCGTACCCTTGTTCCGTCTTGATTCGGCAATTACGGTTACAGTGACGAAAAAGCGGGGTGACACACTCAGCACACCCAAAAGCGGTCTTGTGGGTTTCAGATCCCTCGCGGTTTTCACGACAGACCGAGCTCAACGAGGTCTCTGGAGACTTCGACATGCCGGTGGAGCTCAACGAGGCGCAGCGAAGCTGACCGAAACACGGAACTCGGTTTCGCCTTGTTGCATGCCATGAGTCAGGTTTGGGTGGTGCACCACAAGAGTCGGTGTTTCGAAGAAGAAGAGGGACGGCGCATCCCCAAGAGTGTCAGAACTTCAATCCCGGATCTTTTCAGTTCGTTTTCTACATGCATTCCAAGTCGGTTGCCAGCTCTAGTAGTGTTAGTAGGCCTTTCGGATAGCTCTCTGAAACACGGGGTTCGAGGCCACAAGAAATCCTTCGGTGGGCCTCCGGAATCCGTTTTTTTGCTTTGGTCAGCGGCATCCACCAGCGGAATCGCGGGGATGTTTCTGACTTCAGAATGGCACAACCAATGTTTTGCTGTTTTTTTCTCTTTCTCCAACGTGTATGATGATCCTAGGAGCGATCGGACGCTACGAACTGGGCTCCTGGCCCTACTTCTAGTAACAAGGAGCTACTAGGGGCTCCTGGCAGCTACGAACGGAGCAAGGACGCTGGTCTCAGGCTCACCGAAACGTCTCAAAACGACCCAAAGAGTGTCACGAAAACCGAAGAGCGGAGTGCCCGGTCCCAAAAACTGCGGAACCGCTCCGTCCACCGCGGCCGCTCGGCCCACCGTTTTCAGCGTCAACTGCGGCGCTGCCGTTGACACTACCAGGCGGGGATGGAAAGGATTTATGGGATGGGTCTGTAGGTCAGGGAGTGATTGGTCAAATTGCCGTTTATTTCCTTCAGCAGATTTACTCAAATTTACTCCTGTACTTCTGATTGAATGTTAGAATCTCAACACCGCGTTTTTGGTCTAGGATGGTTTTCCTGCTTCATTCGTTGCTTTGTGGGGTGGCACAAAGGTAGCGGGCCAAGGGACCTCAAGATGGAGTTCCCCATAAGCATTCTTGATCGATGGTGGCATGAAAGAAGCTGACATATGCTTACATATTTCAGCCAAAATAGAGCTGGCCACTTGTGACAAAGTAATTTCCCTCAGCTGATCCGCAGATTTGGTGCAGCTCGTCCTCAGGCTTCTCTTGCGGCGGAGTTGGTGAGCAATGGGGAAGGCTGGCAAGAAGAAGGCTGAGAAGAAGGGCGGCATTTTTTGATGTACCTTGGATGGATGAATTGGATTCTTGGATGGTTGATGAACCTTGAACCAGAGCAGCAGGCAGCTTTCTAGATGGCCATGTCAGCTTCTGGGAGTGTTAGCCCCCATGTTGGTTCTGCATCTTTGCATTCAACGGGTGCTGTAAGCTTGATGGCATGGTAAATTCTTTGTTTCCAAACAGCGTTCAAACCATCATGACATTGTCATACATTTTCATTGAGCAAATTGAGAAGTCGAATTCATGTCTTTGTCGCCCAGGTCGGGAACTTGATCTTCCTGGCCATCGCCGCTGCCATAGGCTGCTGTCCTGGGGCGGTGGTCCGAATTGCATGGATCAGAATGGTAACAGCCAAGAAAAAGAGATGTCGAAATTATTTGTGACCCATCTGATTAAGTGTACGATAGGCCAACTATGGCCAACTGATCAGTCCTTGCTTCGATGGCCCTCTGTCGTGCAAGCAGTGTGCCTTTTGATGCTTGCCTGATTTTGACGGTTCCCGCTTCCCACCAGCTCTTTCCGTCCAAAAGGCACCCCCCTTTCTGCTGGCGCTCGGCTTCCGCGCCAGCAGCGGCACGCACACCACATCCGATCCCTTTCAGAGCGAGGTCCGGTTCTTCTGGAGCGGAAAGCCACCTCTCCTTCCGCCCCTGAACAGCAACGCTTGCCAAGTCGGTGCTGTATTCAGTGTTTCGTTTGTTGTGTCTGGCGTTTCAACCCTGAAATGCTGGTGCTTCGTTTCCCCACTTCCGAATAAGAGGAATTCCTTGGGCGTTTCCTCCATTGGGTGCGGGACCTGAACCTTTGGTTTGCGTGCTTGCCTCCGCAGTGTCGTTGGTCTCGTTTGCCCCATGCGTGCGTGACCTAGCTCTCCTCCACCCAAGCTCTCTCACGTCATCCAGAAAACCGTTCGGCTGATTCACCAGCAGTTCCTTAGAAGCTACTAGTAACAAGTGCATCGCTACTAGTAACAAGTGCCTTACTAGTAAGAACAAGAACGCTACTAGTAACAAGGGCATTTCTACTAGAAGCAAGAAGCTAGTACCAAACAGGTGGACGGACCCAGTGGACCCAACGGACATCAACGGACCTTTGACAGACGACCTGCTTTGACGGGCGGCAGGATGGACCTCTCAAGTGCATGTACCGTTTCGCAGATGTTTCGCAGCTCGTTGGCAGGATACTGCCGGTACAACCAGATCAACATCCCCATTTTGGATGACTTCATCCGAAAGGCCCTCTACGGGGACGCTGGAGGCCAGCATCCCAGACCTGGAAGTGAAGCCACCTACTCACTTCCTTTTTGAGGTGGTGGCGGTGTGGGTGATGAAGTGGCCAATAGCATGGCGGACGCGCGTGCAGGCAAGCCCATCGTTTCTTGGCCATGCCATGGGGCCACTGCAAGAAGCTGGCTGGAAGTGGGAGGGCGAGTGAGAGCTGAAACCTCTGGTTGGGGACCATTGACTCAAATCAGAAGGTACAGGTGGTAACAAGAGATAGCAAGCATCGGCAAAAGTGAGAGGCTTCTGGTATTGCTCCACTTTTTGGGATCACTTAGATCACTTGTCGAAAAACGGACCATGCAAATGATGCTGTCATGCTGTCCTATTGAGCAACAAAAGAATGTCACCAGATGGAACTGTTGGACGTGAGACATATAGAAGTAACAATGTTCGCTACTAGTAACAAGTGCCACGCTACTAGGAACAAGTGCCTTACTAGTAGTAACAAGAAGAATTTAATTAGAATTGTAATTACTAGCTTCTTGTTACTACCAGTAAGGCACCTGTTACTACTAGCGTGGCACTTGTAATTACTAGCTTCTTGTTATCCAATCTCACATCGAAGGACGAGATGCCAAGCAATTTCGAAGGTCATCCGCTGTCAATTCCACTCACGGCCCTTCATGACCCCAACAGATTAACTGTTAAGTGACATAATCATATACAATTAACATCCTTGAAGACCCGATCAAAAGGAAGAGAATTCCAAGCAATTTCGGAATAATGTGTCCCAAATCGGAGGACTTTCTAAAGAGATTTCAGATCCTCAGCGGTCTGAACCCAACCGCTCCACCCAGGCAGTCAGCGACGTGTTGGGGCAGATGAACCGCTACTGCCGCCGAGGGAAGTGCAATGACGACTACTGGGTGCCTGAGATGAGGGGTGAAAGGTTGGGGAGGTGGAAACAGGAGAAGGCACACTGACTGAGAAGGCCCCATAGAAGTGACATGCCACAAATGGCATCGCTACTAGGAGCAAGGACACTACTAGTAGCTCCTGGCCTTACTACTAGTAAAAAGCAGCTACGCAGCTACTAGTAACAATTGCTCAAATAGATGTCTTACCCCTATGCCAGCTCCACCGTGCCCCTTTGCGTCTCAATTCCAAGCACCTTTTGACAGCTCCTCCGGCCGAACCCACACACGACAACGCAGGAGGCCTTGCCGGACGTGGCCAAGGCCCTGAAGATGGGCCCTGGAACCTGGGATCGGAAGCCGCTGAAGAAGGAGCCCCCACGGCGTGTTTCTTTGTGTTGTTGGGAGGGAAGTTCGGGGGAGCTGTGGGTGTGGGTGGTTTTGTGTTTTTGAGGGATGTTTCTTTTTTTTAATCGAGTGGCGCAGGAGCTTTCGACGGGTTTTAGTCGGGTATGTAGATGCTGAGGGTATGGCCGACATGAAGAGTTTGTGGCCAGGACAAGGCAAGAGATCTAGATGCCACTTGGCTGAACTACTAGGAACAAGTGCATCGCTACTAGTGACAAGTGCCTTACTAGTAGTAACAAGAAGCTAGTAGAAACAAGTGCCACGCTACTAGGAACAGGTGCCTTACTAGTAGTAACAATGTTTGCTATTAGAATTAATGTTTAATGCCTTGTGAGCGTTGAAAGTCGGAGAAGCCAGCTCAGTCTGTTTGAAATAGGGCAGCTCTGGAGTTGGAGGTCAATCAGCCGGCCACGCATGTCTAAGGAACTTTTAACGAAAGTGGCGCAGCAACCACAAGCAAGGCGGGGGCAAGATGCTTGCTGCTTGAGGCTGTCCAGCTTCAGCATTACCCTACACAACCCCTCTACAGTACGCTTCTACGCTCTCCGTTTCGATCTTGGACAGAGCCACCTTTCAAAGTGTGCAAACAAAATCAAACAACATATAACAAACAAACATAAGAAAGGATTGGTTGCCGGACAAGTCGAGTGTGAATGCGAGGAGCGAGGCGGTTTGGAGCGCGCTGCGGATCGTCTCGAAGGAACTCCTGGATGTGACGCCCAAGTCCATGTGCTTTGGCCAGGCATCGTTACTAGGAACAATGTTCGCTACTAGGAACAAAGGGCATCGCTACTAGGAACAATGTTCGCTACTAGGAACAAAGGGCATCGCTGCTAGGAGCAAGAACGCTACTAGGAACAAGTGCCTTACTAGTAGTAGCAAGAAGCTACTAGGGGCTCCTGG